AAGCACTTTTGAATGTGTTATATTTTATGAAAACATTTAAATATTAAGAGTACATACTCTTAATATAGTGGGAAAGTGGAAGGTCAATGATATAAATAATATAGAATAGAAAATATCAAGAAGATAGATACTGTTACGTCCCCCTTCTAGGGTAGAGGAAAGTGACATACACCAGTATGGAATTGGTAAAGTTACAAGCATTTATTTATACAACAAGTTTAACAAAAGGGCAGACAAGCAGCCAGGAGCAAACAAAAGTGGCCAAAAGGCACAGATATAGCTAATGAGCTAACAAAAGGAGGACTCTAACAAAGGGAGGACTCTATTAAATGAGCCTACTTAAATACAAAGGGATATACATATTAAACAAAATAACCCTCACTATCACAGTGGTACAAACTAATGGAAAGGAGAAAACCACAGCTAAGCTAAATACTACAGCCAACGTAAAGGCTAAGATACTCTAGTCACACAATACTAAACTAATTGAGACACATCTAATCACAATAATACTGTTCAACACAGACCACACAAGTTAACCACTTTGAGAACCACTGCGCTAACCTCTCCGCTTCTCTCTCGCTCTCTTGTCTCTTCTTCTGTGTTTCTCTCCCTGTATCGCTCACTCGTCTCTTTCGCCCCCTGTCGGCAGCGGTTAAAATAGAATCGGCCCGTCAAAATTGAAATCCCCTATTAATGTATTGATTATAGGTCCGGGTCCGTATAGGTCGGCGTCTGGGTCCGGATCCGGACCGTGGTCCGCCTGTTGCCGACCCCTGGTGTATGTAGTTCACCCTGCGTTGCTCAGGTGTGAGTATGTCAATATGAACATGTTCGTCTGTTTGTGGGTGTGTGTGTGTGAGTTGTACTCTCTCAAATAAAGCCTATACTTATTGATCACTCCGATGGAGGAAAAAAAGGGCTACTCATATCTCAGTGACCAGTGGTAAACACACATACTGCATTGATTAAAACGCTGGGCTTTTACGACACATACTGTACATTAAAGTTGCTTCAGACGGTACTTCTGCTGCCGAGTTGTTATTTTATTTTTATTTGAACAATTTAAGTCTTTAATTATGTTGTTACTTATGGGAATTTTAAACAAATACTTTATATTTTGTTAGTAACAATATGCTTCTGTAATAATATCCCAGATGGTAGGTGTTTTTTTTATTGTATTTGTATATTCATGTCCGTGTTTGTGTTTTAGTTATTACACTAAAGGGACTTGGTGGAGACCAAAGCAACACTGTTAACTACCTTTTCTAATGTTTCTACGCTAAGCCATACTTGGCATCAAGGGAAATTGTGCTTCTAATGTATGCAACTTTTAGAAAATATATTTTAAAAAACACTGGCACTGGCTCCACTTTACAACAGCCATAATATCCTTGAACATGCTGTTCAAAGTGATTATGGGCACATCATTTCCAGCAGCTTCACCGTATTGACACAAAAAAATCCTCCATATTATTGTAATAATAAGTCAAACGATTCTCAAGGACAAGTGGTCCTTTAGGATAATGGCATGTATAATGAACCCCAAAAAATGTGGTAAGTTTAATATAAATACATGCATACACCGAGTGACCATTAAGCCCAGGCAATAACATCGCCTTTACAAGTTTTTCACTTAAGGACATAGCAGTGTCTTACACTGCTCAATAAACTGGACACTTTGATGTCTGAGTCTTTTGCTAAATCGTAAAGAATCCTGAAACGGTGTATGTGTGTTCATCTGTACACTTTCAAATTGGTTATACAGTCTTCATTTGACAGGGGCAGGTCTTTCTTAATTTAAAAACAGTCTGGAAAACCTTTGAGAACAATCATTTTAGAACTTCAAATATAAGTGTTTCTTAGTTTTATTTATGTGCCTTTTCTTTCGGACAACAAAGCACTTTCTTCGACAACAAAAAAACAAAAAAAGAATGAGAGGAGTCTGAGATTAGTATGATAAAACACATGCTTTTGAATATCAAACGTCTTTCAAACCTCCCATCATTTGAACAAAATGCAACAAAAATCTGGTCAGAAGAGAAAGAACAAAATACATCTGCAGCTTTTAATCGTCTTTCTGTGTCGTCCCTAAATAACTCTAAATAATCACTACTTATTCATATCCATTATGTTTTTAGTGTTGGGTAGTTTTACATTTCTCATTCCTGGATGGGCTTGTTAGACTTTATGTTACCATTGAGGAACAATTTTATATTTATGGCTAATTTATAATCGGCACAGAAAGACATATTTGTATGAAAACAATAATTACAGCATACACCCCAAAACAAATGAATACGTTTTAACATTGTACAATTTAGGTAGCTTATAAGGGTTTCCTGTGATTTTCACCAATCCAATTTAAGTATTTAAAACTCATTTTTTGGTGAATCCAATGTAGCTCTTTGGCTAACTCTCACCTGTTTCCCGTCATGGCCCCGGTAATGCGTCAGCCTAAACCTTTAGCTTTTCATTCTCTGACAATGAAATACAGCCTTATCCCCAGCTGCTAATAGCAACAAGCTGCTGAATTCCTGTGTCAGGAGCCAAAAGGACGAGCAATTAGAATCGGAGAGATGAAACCCTCTGTAATGGTCACACATGCAGAGCACACAGCCCACACAGTGAAATGCGTTCTCTGCTTTGAACCCATCCTAGTACTAGGAGCAGTGCAGCTATTGTACACCTCCTTGTTTTCTGTAATCACAGTTGCCCATCAAGTCCAAAACCTTTGTTTATTTTTGCCTTTTCAAACTTGACTTTAGTCATAAATGTTTACTGAGTCAGCACCTCAAATTCTGCATTGATTTGTTCTAAGTTGTGCTGTGTACCCTGACAGATTCCTAAATGTTCTTTGATGCTGAAGGGATTCCAGACCTCTCCTTCTGACATATTTGCCTCTTTCGTCTCGCCACCCGTTGATTGAATCTTTCCACTATATTCACTGCATAAAAAACACCTTTTTAAAGTTTAGACAGTTTATCAGAGAGAAATAAAGACATCTAAACATAAGGACCAACTGGCAACTGAAAACTGAGGTTTTAAAATGAAAAACGATACAGAACAAAGTGTTTTTAGTAAATATGAGAAGGAAAACTGAATACAAAGAGAAAGATGAATTAATAGGATAAGTATCCATATCCCTTTCCATTTCTCCAGCTGGCCCCCAGTTCTTTTGCCGGCCTGCATTTTTATCAGGAATGAACGGTAGATTGTATGCCAAATTGTCTGTGAGTGCGAAGACACGTGGACCATCATCCGTTCCTTTTTTTTTCTCTCCAAATCTTCCCATCCGTCCTTCCACATCCCCTTGCCCCTCTCTCCATGCCTAGCTCTGTGTTATGAATCCATTTGCAGATAAAGCAGATATATCATTCTGTCATGGAGGCAGGGAGGGGAGGTAGACTGTGGAATGCCCTGGCACTGAGAGCAGGGAAGGGCGCTAAGCACAGTGCTACGCTTCCTCGCACATTCCCTGCTGCTCCTGCTCTCAGCCTCTCGGCTCAGCCTGCATGTCTGTTTTCATGATCCATGCGATGCCCTTACAGCCTCCCGTTCCTATTCCTACCTTACCTTTCCCAACAAAACCCACCTAAGCCATCGGAGCTGCATCCAAGCATCCCAGAACTGTAATAACACAATGCCTGGATTATCAGTAAATCTCCCCCCTGTTTTAAAACAAGGTAGGCTGGGGTCTGGACGGGCTCGACTGACTTCCAACTCTTGTCTCCAGTTACAGAGAATAATACCCTGCTTGCCAATCAGATAGAAGACAAATTACAGAGCATTTGCACAGCACAGTAGACATACTTTAAGGATTCAGAATCATTGTGCTTAGTTGAGCCAAAATACTGAGATTGACTTTACCGATATCTCTCGATCCAACACATTTCCATTATCTGGACAGTTTGTGTGCAATTTCTCTGCGTGTGACTTGTATACACATGTACTTGTCTTCATAAACTATATTACAGGAGGCCAGGGTTTATGTTTGGCTCTCAGCCATGACACATGCTGCCACAGCTGACCCTTTACACTCTCTTCTACTGCTCTAGTAAATGAAGTGTGAGCAGATGTATTTTCACAGAGAATGAGTACTGTAAACTGTGGACAGTCTGTTTATGGCTGAGAATATGAGCTGTACTTTGTTTTTGGATCTCATTAGCACATATGTGTATCTTTAAGGGAAAACTACGTACATTATACAGCCTCACAAACTGCTAGCGTGGCTGCAGATCTTAGTCTCAAATTTAACTTAAACCACAAACCTTCATTAATTCTTGATTTTGTCTCTCAAAGCTAAATACTCATTGATGACTCAAACACCAGTCTCGTGTGTATTTTGTACTGTAGCATATACTACTAGGGATGTCCCGATCCGATCACGTGATCGGGGATCGGAGCCGATCACGTGATTTTCACGTGATCGGGGATCGGGAGAAAAACATCGGGGATCAGATTTTTTTTTTTTTTTTTTTTTTTTTTTTTATAAAATATTTTTATACATTTTATTTAATGTTACAAAACAAAAATGACCATGTTCACGTCTTAAAGTCATCCTGAGGCCTTAGTTTTGGGTTAAAATTACACAACATCATGTATGTGTTGCTTCTTTTGGGCTTGTTTTCATAGACCTGGTTGCTTATTTCTCTCAAATCTGGCAACAGAGTGGGCGCAGTGTCTAATACTAGCAGTAAGCTAACAAGAGGCTACGTTCAGCTGGTGACTCGGGAGTCGGGACAGAGAAAATGTCAGGAGTTTGGAAGTATTATAAAATTGAAAGCGAAGGCAGTGTAACAGCCAGATGCAATGTTTGCAAGGCGGAGGTTCCGCGTGGTGGAAAGAACAGAGCTACGTTCAACATGACCAATCTAATACAAACACCACCAACAACAACACGACGAGTACACAGCGGCCACTCAGGTAACGGCACTGAAACTGTGAGGATTTACAGTATCTCCCTCCTTCTTCTCTTCTTTGTTTTATGTTTGTTATGTTCGTTCTGTCTGTCTGTGTGTCTGTCTCCCTGGCTGGGTGTGGCTGACCCACTTCTGATTCCCGCCAACTCACCTCCGCAGCTGCTGCTCATCATCCTGATTACACTACTCACCTTCACCTGCTTATATGCCCGGTCCTCTCATCCAGTATTCACCAGTTCGTCGTTTCACCTCGCTGGTAATTCGACTTGGTACATGTAGTTTATGGTAAAACTAACTCTCTGTGTTCCTGCCGAATCTAACCCTTGTGTTCTCCGTCAGAATCCATCTGCCTACTCCTCTGCCTGCCACATCCAGCCACGTACCTCTCGTCTGAGTATCTCCGTGCTTCCACGCACACCGGCTCCAACCTGTCAACTATCGCCAGCTCTGGATCAGCGGCTTTCCTCGCCAGTGTACCTTCGTGCTTCCACGCACACCAGCTCCTTCCTGTCGACTCTCACCAGCTCTGGTCCCCCGGCTCTCCTCGCCAGAGTATCTCCGTGCATATCCGCACCACCTCAGTTAACAAACCCTGGCTTTGGGTTTATTGGATATTTAATCCCTCGTCTGACTCTATATAAGGTTTTTGGTTAATAAACCTTTTTCTACCTCAAAAGCTCTGTTTCATCGTCCTGTGTTCAGCATTGTGAGTTCACTCCTGTAGCTACCGGTGAGCTTAACAGTACGAACTGGTCACTGTTAAGCTCACCGGTAGCTACAGGAGTGAACTCACAATGCTGAACACAGGACGATGAAACAGAGCTTTTGAGGTAGAAAAAGGTTTATTAACCAAAAACCTTATATAGAGTCAGACGAGGGATTAAATATCCAATAAACCCAAAGCCAGGGTTTGTTAACTGAGGTGGTGCGGATATGCACGGAGATACTCTGGCGAGGAGAGCCGGGGGACCAGAGCTGGTGAGAGTCGACAGGAAGGAGCTGGTGTGCGTGGAAGCACGAAGGTACACTGGCGAGGAAAGCCGCTGATCCAGAGCTGGCGATAGTTGACAGGTTGGAGCCGGTGTGCGTGGAAGCACGGAGATACTCAGACGAGAGGTACGTGGCTGGATGTGGCAGGCAGAGGAGTAGGCAGATGGATTCTGACGGAGAACACAAGGGTTAGATTCGGCAGGAACACAGAGAGTTAGTTTTACCATAAACTACATGTACCAAGTCGAATTACCAGCGAGGTGAAACGACGAACTGGTGAATACTGGATGAGAGGACCGGGCATATAAGCAGGTGAAGGTGAGTAGTGTAATCAGGATGATGAGCAGCAGCTGCGGAGGTGAGTTGGCGGGAATCAGAAGTGGGTCAGCCACACCCAGCCAGGGAGACAGACACACAGACAGACAGAACGAACATAACAAACATAAAACAAAGAAGAGAAGAAGGAGGGAGATACTGTAAATCCTCACAGTAAAGGAGAGTGAGTTGGCAGTTCCTTCTGTCCAGCATCACATTCAACGGTGCCGTAAGATTTGGAGGGACACTCGCTCAGAACTCCTCCGGACTTCTACCAGGAATCAACGGTCAGCTAACCGTCACAGACATGCCGCTCCCCATTACACCCCTGGACAATCAGTTTGGTTGTCTTCCAAAAATATCTCACTCCTCACCGAGTCAAAGAAACTGTCCCCTCGGTTCCTTGGGCCTTTCCTCATTGAGCGCATTATTAACCCCTCTGCTGTCCGCTTGAGACTCCCCAGATCCATGAAGGTTCATCCAACCTTTCATGTTTCCCAGATCAAGCCAGTCCACACTAGTGACCTGTGCCCTCCAACCATTCCCCCTCCTCCCCCCCGAGTCATCGATGATCATCCTGCCTACACCGTGCGTCGGCTTATGGATGTCAGACGCCGGGGCAGGGGCTTTCAGTACTTGGTTGATTGGGAGGGTTACAACCTGGAGGAACGTTGCTGGGTGCCTCGGTCACGCATCATGGACCCTGTCATGGTGAGGGAGTTCCACAGAGCACACCCTGACAAGCCTGGTGGTCGCCAGGAGGCTCCCGTGGAGAGGGGGGTACTGTGAGGATTTACAGTATCTCCCTCCTTCTTCTCTTCTTTGTTTTATGTTTGTTATGTTCGTTCTGTCTGTCTGTGTGTCTGTCTCCCTGGCTGGGTGTGGCTGACCCACTTCTGATTCCCGCCAACTCACCTCCGCAGCTGCTGCTCATCATCCTGATTACACTACTCACCTTCACCTGCTTATATGCCCGGTCCTCTCATCCAGTATTCACCAGTTCGTCGTTTCACCTCGCTGGTAATTCGACTTGGTACATGTAGTTTATGGTAAAACTAACTCTCTGTGTTCCTGCCGAATCTAACCCTTGTGTTCTCCGTCAGAATCCATCTGCCTACTCCTCTGCCTGCCACATCCAGCCACGTACCTCTCGTCTGAGTATCTCCGTGCTTCCACGCACACCGGCTCCAACCTGTCAACTATCGCCAGCTCTGGATCAGCGGCTTTCCTCGCCAGTGTACCTTCGTGCTTCCACGCACACCAGCTCCTTCCTGTCGACTCTCACCAGCTCTGGTCCCCCGGCTCTCCTCGCCAGAGTATCTCCGTGCATATCCGCACCACCTCAGTTAACAAACCCTGGCTTTGGGTTTATTGGATATTTAATCCCTCGTCTGACTCTATATAAGGTTTTTGGTTAATAAACCTTTTTCTACCTCAAAAGCTCTGTTTCATCGTCCTGTGTTCAGCATTGTGAGTTCACTCCTGTAGCTACCGGTGAGCTTAACAGAAACAACCGACACTTTCAGAGACTTTTAAAAGGAAAGAGAAACTACCCCAGAACAGCCAAGATAGCTGAATTCATCGCGTTGGATGACCAGCCGTTATCTGTTACCTTTTTTTTCCTCTTAATGCATTGCATAAAGATCGGATCGGGAAAAATCGGTATCGGCAGATTGTCAAAATCAAATGATCGGAATCGGATCGGGAGCAAAAAAAGGTGATCGGGACATCCCTATATACTACTATATACTGAGACAGTGTCGGATGACACCTAGCGTGACAAAATGACAGAAACATCTTGCCCATTATTGACACGTGTATATTATAATGTCCATATAGGATGCCACAACATTTCCCAACTTTTAGATTCTGTCCCTTTATTTTTCCTTTCTCTTTTTTTTTGTTCCCTTGTTTGATTTTCTGTCTCTAAGGGATCGAGGGAGAGAGGGAGAAAAGAGTGTGTTGTCCCAGTGCCAGGGCAAAAATAGACAGTAAATTACAGAGCCTTCTGAGAACACCCCACTGTGTGGCATGACCTCAAAATAACACACACAGACATACACTAGCAGGCTTACATACAATTATAGAATACACAGTGTGCTGCCCTATTTCTATATTTCCTATTCAGCCTGTTGAAGCAACGATCAGACAGAAAACCTCCGTGCCAACTGAGAGTCCTGTACTCAAATGATGTGCCAGTGAAGGAAACTCTGACTCTGATTCACAGATGTTATTGCGATTGCTGTCCCATCTCAGCTTACCAAGACACATACACCCAGTTTTTATATGTACATGTTTTCATCCCTATCCCATGGCATAAACGTGTATGGATAAAGAAACAATATCTCACTTTTCACTAAATGTACTACATACTTCTACTGTTTTCCTACTCCACCTCCTCTTTAGGTCTAACACATTCTGGCATCTGCAAAACCCCAAAATAGAACTACTGAAAACAATTTCTTGTCAACGCTGCATGCTAGGAAATTGAGAAAAGACAAGGCTGTGATGAATGGACGTTATTGGTGTTTGTCGTACTCACCTTGAGTGAGTCAAAACAGGCAATGACTCTGCCGTTTTCTACTTGACAGCTCTTGGCAGGGTGGGCGAACTTGCACTCACTGTCCGGTCGTGAACAGGTTCCTCTCTGGAATTCTCGACAAACCTCCAACGTCAGCCACTTTGTGTCCCGCATCTGTGTCATATTTACCGCCATTTCGAACCAGGCAGGAAGGGTCGATCAATACAAATAGATATCCAAAAAATGCAGTTATGTTTGTGTCTGTTTTTTTCTATTGACACTGGGACAAATATTGAGAAAGAAGAGGTAAAGGACATGGGCAAATGCTATTTTAAGAGGTTTGTTGTCCCCAAGGTGTGATTCTGAGGTGAAGACCTGGGAATTGTCTACCACCTGCGCCCCATCCTAAGAGTCTTTGTGTTGCTGTATTAGAAATCCTTCACAGCATGTCACCCAAGGCCTGGGCTGGTGACGGCCTTCGTGGGTTTGCTTTGTAATCTCTTTGGATTTCCTTCTCAAACACACACGCCAGTTCTGGCTTTTGCCTCGCTCCTCCGCTGAACTGTCAGATGAGACAAATGGCAAAACACATTATCGATCGAGCTGGCCCATGATGAATAGCTGAAGGGCTTTAGGAGAGGAGGAAGAAGGAGAAATATGAACAGGAGGAGGTGGTTGAGAAGGATGAGGCTGTGGTGGAGGGGACAGTTATCTCCTTCCGATCACAGGAGTCGATAAATGCTGTCTGTCTTCGGTGTCAGGCTGGGTCGGCAGAGGAGTCTGGGGGTGTTGACTTCCACAGATGAGGGCTGACTGGCATGGATGGTATAAGGTCTGGCTGGCAAAAAGCAGGAGATGGAGGGAAGGATGAATGTGGCAGTAGTGTGGAGACTGGATCAGTGGATGGCGGTAGCAGTCATGGGGCTTCGAGTGTGGCTGGCACCTCAGGCAGACATGGACAGGCACAGAGGCAGAGGGGCTTCAGTGAAGCCAAAGAGCCACAGGGGTCAGCGAAAGAAGGCACAATTCTCTCTGTGAAAAAGGAGGGAAGAGTGTCAGTGAGGCATGGCTTAAAACTTGCACTCACAAACAAACACACAGCAACACACATACACCCTAATGTTAAAGCTCTCCGGCACACATTTAGATTCATACAAACTGCTTTATTTGAACATGTTTCCAAGTCATTATTTTGCACATCCTCTCTTACGTTAGCCCTCACAGAGACCGCCGGGCTCTCAGCTTGAAAATCAAATCAAACACCATAGCTAAAGGTAAAGCTCACGCATTCAGGCGCAGACAATTTATTACAAAGGGCGAGAGAGAGAGAGAGAGAGAGAGAGAGAGAGAGAGAGAGAGAGATAGAGGAGAGAGAGAGAGAGATAGAGAGGATGAGTCGGAGGGAGGAGGAGGAGGAGGAGGAGGAGGAGGAGGAGGAGGAGGAGGACCGGAAGAAAATTAGTAATTTTAAGTGATTCTTATTAACACATATCAGCCTCAGTCAACATTATTACAGAAACAAAAGACAAAACATTTGACAGACTTTAACACTTTCTTAGGACTTCTTAATGTCTGTTTTGAGCTTGTGCTTTGAAAGAAAACACTACCTTTATTATACTTATCAATAACAACAAGCGAGTTCTTGAGTATCAAATAGTGATTTGATAAATAATACATCTTTCAATCAGCTGTTGAGATAGACTGCTGGCAGGTGGCCATGAAAGACAAAAGAGATAAGGACTAGATGATGTCAGTATACGAGAAAAATAAGGAATGTGAACTATTTCTGCTGTTTTGCCACACAGTCATGTACTGTAGGCTCCTTTAACCCACTAATCCAACACTTCCTGACCTATCTGCTCACATTTTCGGATATTGAAAGAACAGACTGCCCCCCAAATCTCATACAGCTGCTTCACTTATAGTAGGGCCCTGAACTCTACATCCCACATGTGGTTAGATTACTTCTAAGCCCCCACGCTCAGATGTAATACCTTGAATATGCTGACATGCACTGCACTGTTATTACCCTTAACGCAACCAGACCAAAGTTTGTAAGGATGCATGCCTAAAATACAAATAACCTTTATAAAAGATGTGCAACATACAATGGTATGAACTTTGTTTCAGTGAAAAATGTAACATATTTCTCTGATAGTTGATACTATCTTGCCTGGGGAGAGTTTCAATCTTAGCTGACTATTGTTAGCCTGCTGCAGGAGCTAAGGTTTGCTTCCTAGATGTTAGTGAAGTTAGTGTATTTTCTCTCAGACTACTATCACAACACATTCTTGAAACTGAAAGAAATCATTAACTGAAGAGTTAGATTTAAAGCGTAAATGGTACTATAAAAATGATAAAGCTATTAACCAAAAAACTACCCTGAACACAACAAACACAAGAATAATGATATGTAACAGTAATAGAGCATCCAATGATTGAATCTGGAATCATTATTACTGCATAAAACTGGTGATTTTGATTCAACTTGACCAGAAGGAAAAGAGAGAAGCAAGAGAGGAGGGAATACAAATAACAAAGTAAAAATACTCCTTTGGTCAAACACTGATTGCTTTTGTGTCATGCTCTCTTCTCGTATTCAGGCTGGTCACATTTGTGGTGAACTACTTTTTCAGCACAGGGTTATTTTAGGCTGTGAGTTTTAAGGCCAGGGCAGTCCACTGTATCTGGCAGGAAGACTGTGGTAGGGATATAGAATACAGAGAGGGAAACCATCACCAATCCTTAAAATGTGGGTAGCAAATTGGTCTTCTACATCGTTTATTCTTACTCACTTTCTGACCTTTGCTATAACTTTCTGAATCACACCAAAGAAGTCCAGATGTTAGGATGGTAGGAACAAAAGAAAATGCTGTTCATTTGTGGCCATTCTGAGTGTGGGTCATGCTAACGCCGCTATAAAACACATGAGGGGTTTCTGGCGCGTAATTCCAGATATGCTTATTTTTTATATGGAGTCAAATGTGCCATTTTTAGATTTTTTTTCTTTAACTTTGTTAAACCTGACATGACCTATCCACAATTAAAAACTGTTTCTTTGTCAAAATCATTACAATATTTTCATATTTTTTACCAGTGACATGAATTAAACTGTCAACACAGCTTATTAGCTTTGCCACAAATGTGAGCAATGCTAATAAGCTGCTTTCAACGTATAATCAAAATCTCTTTTTGATTTTGACCACCCTGTTGTAGACTGTCGAGGAACACAACCAAACCAACCACATTTCTTTTGGGATGCAGCATGTTCCCCCTAAAGGCCCTGACACACCTAGTCGACAGTTGTCAGTCAATCAGTGCCAGAACGTTGGAGAGCATCTGTTGCTTTAGTTTTTGCGGTGTTTCCTGCTCTGTTGCCACTTGTCTGCGTTTTTTGGGTTGAGTGAGTGTGAATTTGTGGCTTTGGAAGTGGAGAAGAGGCGACATCAGTTGCTGCTAGTTCTTTTGATGTCAATTTGGTTTTTGTCTGTGCTGTAAACATTCCAAATGAAACATCAATACTTTTATTTTGCCTTTTTTTGACAGTGCAGATAAAAGAACAGGAAAGAGGGAGGGAGGCAACATCAGATTTGAACCTGGCCACCAGGCAGGCAGACTGACTAGAGCTACCAAGGTGCTCATAAACCTACATTTTATAGAAATATTTCAGATGCTTTTCTCTAAATCCATCAGAGGTAATCAGTAAAAGGAGTATCTACTTTTTGGTGAAAACAGGAATAATAATATCTATATATTCCTAAAGCAGATCACAAATGCATTTTAACGTTCACGATAGAAATTCAAGTCAGTCGTACTGAACCCAAGCATGCACTGACTTAAAAGAGAATATGCCCCATTTCTAATAACCGCATGAGTGAAAGAAAGCGAAAGCTGGAAAATGTACACAAATTACAAACCA